GGCTGGCAGGAAGCAGAGCTGGTCGGGGGAGGAGGTTGGGGGCAGCAGGACTGGCCAAGGGAGATGGGGGTGGGCTGTCAGGGGAGCGGGGCTGGCCGGGGGAGATTGGGAGGAGGAGAACCAGCCGGCAGGAAGCAGGGCTGGCCAGGAGGTGGTCAGGGAGAACAGGGTTGGCTGGGGGAAAGAAGCGGGTGGCAGCGAATCAGCCAGCAGGGAGTGGGACTGACCCGGGCACATGCAGATCCCAGGGCGCTGCCCATCCCACGCACGGTCCTGGCGAAGCATGAGCGAGTCCGACTATGGCTCCACAATGGGCTTGAACAGCGCTCAGGAGCACGGACACAGTTTCTCCTCCTCCCCAAGGCATCACTCCTACGTCAGACACAACCAGAGGCTCCCAGCACCAATCATGCCCTGCCTCCCAGCCACTCCCCCACGCCCACCAGGCTTCCATCGGGTGCCCAACCAGAAGACCAAAAAATACCGGACACTGCACATGTCCGGTATTTTCTGAATTTTTTTTACCGGACAGAGGGCCCAATAACCGGACTGTCTAGTTAAATACCAGACACCTGGCAACCTTATTAGAGACTATTTTATATATCCTTAGAGATAGGTCTAACAGAAAAATTGAGATACATCTCAAGCTTCCGCAAGCTATGTAGCTGTTTGGGTTTGGTCTGTGGGCCTGTCCCTTCTGCCAAACATTCTGAATTGCAACACCAACAAACATTTTCCTACTCAGAGACTCTTCAGTGCTGCTGGAGGTGCATGCACAGATCAAAGATGAAGTTTTGGAGCTCAATCAGTTCTGTTAACTGACAGAAACACAATAGGCTATTAGCCAGGAATAGAAATGGTGTCCCTGGCCTCTGTTTGTCAGAGGCTGGAGAGGGATGGCAGGAGACAAATCGCTTGATCATTGTCTTCGATCCACCCTCTCTGGGGCACCTGGTGCTGGCCACTGTCTGCAGACAGGCTACTGGCCTAGATGGACCTTTGGTCTGACCCAGTACGGCCGTTCATATGTTCTTATGTAACAGAATGTGAGTGCCAAATCTCTATCACAAAATCTCATGAGGTAATTAATTAATTGGCTGTGTTATTCATCAATTTTGAAAACTACTATTTGGTATTCAAGAGAATATCAAAGAGTTCTACTTGTCACAGCTATGAAACCTTATTTCAGGTCTACTCAACTTTGAAAGCCTTGGGGGCCACAATGATATACTCACAGAACATGCTAAGGGCCGCAACTTAAGTGTGGTTGCACATATATGCAGATATATGCAAATAGTTTTTTCAGACTATTGGGCATGAATACAAAGATTAAGACAAGATTACACAACATGCAGGCCCCTTTTAAGTCAGTTCTACTGATATTAATAAAATGTAATATTCACCGAATTTCCACCCATATGACAGCACTTGTAATGAGCAATGACATTCCAGGAATTTAACTTCTAAAATGCATATCTACAGAAGACCAATATATTGACTCATCATTGTGGAGCATATTCCCATAGAGGCCATGTTCAAAGGATCTCACCCATAGGCTGTGTGTTGAGCCCTGCATAAACCCAAACCGCACCACAGGCTGCAAACAATGGGCTGCGGGCCACATGTGGCCCATGGGCTGTGTGTTGGTAGTCCTGCCTTCTTTACTTAGCTGGATGACCAAATTACCACAAAACTAGTGTGTTTCTCACTGTGTGCCTGCCTGCTCCATTTTTATGAGCCATCAGAACACCGACATTCATTTACTGTGCCTATTCTTGAATATGTTTTATTCATACATATTATATATGTATGAATCTAAATTCTGAACCCTCATTTACATTGAATAGTGCCTTATTATGTATGTAATCCCACTAATTTCAGTGGGAATATTTCCGTAATAAGGTAAAATGCAAATGACAGAAAAACACCAACCTCGCATTTGCAATTTTCGGTCTCATAGCTACTTGAGAAAATATTTGTATCATCTGTGCCAATGTGGTGGGTTTGTAGATGAAGCCAGTGGAATTGTTCTACTAAAATATCATAAGTTGGCAAATCTGCAAGCAAGAAGATATTTTTAGTTTTGGTATTTCATATAGCAGCCATAGAGGAGAAATTCTTTCCTTTGCTGCTGCTGCATTATTTTGGAGCTGGGGATTTTAAAATTTTGTTTTGTTGTTAAAAGGCTACTTGGCTCTAAAATCAAGCCCCACAGACAAGTTGAGTAATCAAATCATTTGAGCATAGTTAAAATTATATTATGAGTTTTGAATTTGTGAGAAATTTCCTTCTAACTATGTCTTGCTAACCTTTGTAAGATTTGTATATGATTTTCCATCCAGCCAAACCCTGGGCTTTCCTGTCACAAATGTTCTGTCTTTTGGTCCTTGCCACCTATCCGCCATTAGCTCCGAATCCAAGTTATCGCCCCCAAATGTCAGAAGATACTGTGATTATCGTCAGCAAATATCAGAACTCGCCACTTGTCTTTGCCTGACATGAAAACCTATCTAAGGTGATCATCTTCAGAATCTTCATCTTTCCACTTTGCTTTCAGTTAGTCCTGAACATGGAGCCATTCTCAAAGTCACTGTTGTTTTTGTTGTTTGGTTTTGCTTTCAGCTGTGAAGTTGATACTAACAGAGCTGCTTTTGGAGGACAGTACTGGTTGCTCCTCTATATATATTGTGAACAGTTACATTTCTCTGATATTAGTGTCCTTTGCCCCGGATGTCTTTTACAAACAGCGTTGAATAATCTCTGATGAACACAGAGATGGCAAATACTCATCACGTGCATGTCTTGCAAATGGCTCACTTGATCATTTTTTTGGTTTTGGCACTGCGAATGTTACTCTTGGTTTCCCTAATAGACTATGAGATGCTTGCAGTAGGCCCAACCTTAAACATCTCATTTCTTACCTTGTTTAGTTTTTTCTCCTATATGAGGGAGTCAAGAGGCTCAAAAAGATAGCCAGTGTCTTTTGTAAAACACTGACATGAAAAAATGTTAATATTCAGATGCAAGAAAAATTAGCTTTACTTCTGAGGGATGACTGCTGAGGGAAAATGATCAGAAATTTACAAGATGGACTTTGTAAGTGGCCTACTTTTGCTGGGTAATTGGTTACACATCATTATTATTTATATAGTTCTGTCCTACAAGAAATTCAGCACACTCTGGGGGCTTGTCTCCAGTTACTGGGAGATTAACCTCCTAGAATTCAATTTAGCAGGTCTAATAAGGACCTGCTAAATCAACTGCTGATGGCACACTCACCCCACTCTGGTTCTCCACCAGGTTGTGGGCAGTAAGGGAAGCCAATGAGAGAGTTTCTCAAGTAGACCTCCTGCAGAGGGGATGCCTCAGGAA